CCCCAAAACCCCAAAACCCCAAAACCCCAAAACCCCGGTTTGTACATATAATATTGAAAAATAAATTATCTTTGCATCAAAATGAGCCTGAACAGAAAATCTCAAAAACTTAGCGTAGGGATCCCCTCTTATGATGATCTAGAAAGAGCTAAGCTCAAGAGTAAAATTTCGCAAGAAATATAAATCCAAGCAACACTATGTTATCAAATTTTTGAGTAAATTTACTGAACCCTATCTTATAATAAATTCTTATTAATGCTAAATAGGAAAGAGAATTCCAAATTTCCCTCTCAACCTAGACTTAGGAGTCGTAAACAAAAGAAGTGAGGAATCTCCAGATCCTGAGCAAATCCGGAGAGAAGCAGACAGCGTCATAAACGATATGAGTACTTCCTCTAAAAAAATTCTTCATTAAATTACTTGGTTATTAAATGCAAGTTATATACAATATAGAATAAACTGACTGAGTCACTCCAAAAGAAAGGATATAAAGAACAGCTGAAAAGAATGTCAAGATCATATCTTGTTAAAAGACTGGCTGGGTCGTCATGTACTCATCTGTATTAAATCCATAGCCACAAATAATTTGATGCTAAGCGGAAAGAAGGCAAATTCTCGCAAGAGAGCTAAAGCACCTCCTTGTAAGTCTCTGTTTTAACCAAATTAGTAATTCAGGAATATAAAAATCTTAATACTTATCTTAACCAATATCAAGGTCGTATGAAAGCAGGTGGAAACAGTGTGCAGTTTATGAGAGCCCTTCGTCAATGAGAAACCCCTAAAATTGACTATATCTCCTACGGTCTGACTAAAAGTTCACCTCAAAGACTTACAATTGAAGCAGAATTACGGGGCAGAAAAGGTCTTAGGAAAAGAACTAATCAGCTTAGAGAGAAAGTTCAAAATGCTATCAGACATGATACCGATGAATGGAAGAAAGAGGTCCAGAAAGTTGTTAACAGTGAGGAAATGGTTTAACTACTAGAGGCTGAAAGAAATCAATATTTCACAGAGAGAAAGAATAAGATCATGCCAAGTCGGAGCTATCAAGATTTCCCAAGAAATTCTCAAAATTGATACAGTAACAGTTAAAATACCAATTTAGGCTCTTTTACAAATGAAAATTCGAAATAATTCAGACAGCATCAAATCAACAAAAGGCAACTCACACAACTCGAGCAAGAGGAGTCTTAAAATAGTAATATATACTTCCCATGACTCCTAGGACAAACATTTGCCAAAAGTATATGACACTGAAAGTTTTCTGACGCCAAGTCAACACACAAAGAAGCAGTTCAAAATCTGTCATTCAGAAAGATCAATAAAAACTAAAGAGAAAGCTAATAAAAAGCCTCTAAATCTCAAGCTACAAAACTTGAAGTTTAGTATAATGAGAGTAATGACTTCCTTATATTTAGAAATGTGAAAGAGAGAATTCTAGAAATACCTCCTTGAAGAACCTCTTAGAGAAAATTTCAAGTAACAACAGCTCCCTCTACCAGGCCTTGCAAGTAAACTCCTCTAGAGTGCAAGAAGAGCTGACTAATTCAAGGATAGAACAAAGATATGAGGGGTTTAATCCAGAAAATTCCAGGTCTCGGCTGGGAAAGGTAATTCCTCGTAACTCTAAATCATACCGGGAAATACCCTAGATCGTGTGATGCAGGATGTAAACTGAATATTCCTTCCATTTTCAACATTCTTTATTTAGAATGGGGTTTTGGGGTTTTGGGGTTTTGGGGTTTTGGGG